CACAATCTGCTGTGCAAATTTGGGCCACGTGACCTTTGCTGACCTCTGTAGGTCAAACGGCTGGGAGTGCCACCGAATGACTTGTACTGTGGATTGGGCATGTCATGGCCTACATTGTGTGCGAGTGTCAGCTTGATCGGAGGTGTCCCGAATCTGGGCTGAATCCGGGCTGCGACGTATTGAGTGTCGTTTATTTGCACATTTTGACCTGCCGAGGTCAAACGGGGTCACATATCGAAAAGCGGTTTTCAAAGAAAGTTACTACGGCGTATGGGCTACCCGATGATGTGCTTTGATTTGGAATTCGGTCAATCCATCTACTCGAAAACTGCTGTGCAAGTGTATTTTCGACATAGCCCACAAATGACCTTAGGTCATCGCATGACCTTGAGAGGTCAAATGAGTGTTGGGAAAGTAAGATTAGATGTTGGCGAGTCGATTGGGGCCATTTATAGCGCTCTAGCTCTACTGGGTGGGCCACAATCTGCTGTGCAAATTTGGGCCACGTGACCTTTGCTGACCTCTGTAGGTCAAACGGCTGGGAGTGCCACCGAATGACTTGGACTGTGGATTGGGCATGTCATGGCCTACATTGTGTGCGAGTTTCAGCTTGATCGGAGGTGTCCCGAATCTGGGCTGAATCCGGGCTGCGACGTATTGAGTGTCGTTTATTTGCACATTTTGACCTGCCGAGGTCAAACGGGGTCACATATCGAAAAGCGGTTTTCAAGGAAAGTTACTACGGCCTATGGGCTACCCGATGATGTGCTTTGATTTGGAATTCGGTCAATCTATCTACACGAAAACTGCTGTGCAAGTGTATTTTCGACATAGCCCACAAATGACCTTAGGTCATCGCATGACCTTGAGAGGTCAAATGAGTAATGAGAAAGTAAGATTAGATGCTGGCGAGTCGATTGGTGCCATTTTTAGCGCTCTAGCTCTACTGGGTGGGCCACAATCTGCTGTGCAAATTTGGGCCACGTGACCTTTGCTGACCTCTGTAGGTCAAACGGCTGGGAGTGCCACCGAATGACTTGTACTGTGGATTGGGCATGTCATGGCCTACATTGTGTGCGAGTGTCAGCTTGATCGGAGGTGTCCCGAATCTGGGCTGAATCCGGGCTGCGACGTATTGAGTGTCGTTTATTTGCACATTTTGACCTGCCGAGGTCAAACAGGGTCACATATCGAAAAGCAGTTTTCAAGGAAAGTTACTACGGCCTATGGGCTACCCGATGATGTGCTTTGATTTGGAATTTGGTCAATCCATCTACTCAAAAACTGCTGTGCAAGTGTATTTTCGACATAGCCCACAAATGACCTTAGGTCATCGCATGACCTTGAGAGGTCAAATGAGTGTTGGGAAAGTAAGATTAGATGCTGGCGAGTCGATTGGTGCCATTTTTAGCGCTCTAGCTCTACTGGGTGGGCCACAATCTGCTGTGCAAATTTGGGCCACGTGACCTTTGCTGACCTCTGTAGGTCAAACGGCTGGGAGTGCCACCGAATGACTTGGACTGTGGATTGGGCATGTCATGGCCTACATTTTGTGCGAGTTTCAGCTTGATCGGAGGTGTCCCGAATCTGGGCTGAATCCGGGCTGCGACGTATTGAGTGTCGTTTATTTGCACATTTTGACCTGCCGAGGTCAAACGGGGTCACATATCGAAAAGCGGTTTTCAAGGAAAGTTACTACGGCCTATGGGCTACCCGATGATGTGCTTTGATTTAGAATTCGGTCAATCCATCTACTCGAAAAATGCTGTGCAAGTGTATTTTCGACATAGCCCACAAATGACCTTAGGTCATCGCATGACCTTGAGAGGTCAAATGAGTGTTGGGAAAGTAAGATTAGATGCTGGCGAGTCGATTGGTGCCATTTTTAGCGCTCTAGCTCTACTGGGTGGGCCACAATCTGCTGTGCAAATTTGGGCCACGTGACCTTTGCTGACCTCTGTAGGTCAAACGGCTGGGAGTGCCACCGAATGACTTGTACTGTGGATTGGGCATGTCATGGCCTACATTGTGTGCGAGTTTCAGCTTGATCGGAGGTGTCCCGAATCTGGGCTGAATCCGGGCTGCGACGTATTGAGTGTCGTTTATTTGCTTATTTTGACCTGCCGAGGTCAAACGGGGTCACATATCGAAAAGCAGTTTTCAAGGAAAGTTACTACGGCCTTTGGGCTACCCGATGATGTGCTTTGATTTGGAATTCGGTCAATCCATCTACTCGAAAACTGCTGTGCAAGCACGGGTGGAGAATTGTGCTGGACTGGGGGTGCTCGAGCTCTCCCAATTCCACGCCGGCCACGCCGGCTTGGCTTTGGAGCCGCGGCCGGGCGGCGCGGGTCAAGGTCACCGCTAGGCGGCGGCGGATTTGCTGCGCCCGAGCACCCCCAGCTGGTCACAATTCTCCACCTATGTGTGCAAGTGTATTTTCGACATAGCCCACAAATGACCTTAGGTCATCGCATGACCTTGAGAGGTCAAATGAGTGTTGGGAAAGTAAGATTAGATGCTGGCGAGTCGATTGGTGCCATTTTTAGCGCTCTAGCTCTACTGGGTGGGCCACAATCTGCTGTGCAAATTTGGGCCACGTGACCTTTGCTGACCTCTGTAGGTCAAACGGCTGGGAGTGCCACCGAATGACTTGGACTGTGGATTGGGCATGTCATGGCCTACATTGTGTGCGAGTTTCAGCTTGATCGGAGGTGTCCCGAATCTGGGCTGAATCCGGGCTGAATCTGGGCTGAATATGGGCTGTCTTGATCAACATTATGACGCCAGCCGTTTACTTTCCGAGTCCACCGCTCCCCCTGATGACATCACGCCGTCCACCGGCGCCAGCTGACACGACGCTGACGTCATCGAGGGTAACCAGACGCCGGTGACCGGTCCGAGACTGTCGACAGCATTTATTACCCTGTTGGGCAGCGGGGTAAATGTGGGGTAAATAATATATCGGCTAGCGGACGATATGCCGGGAAAAACACATTTGCGACGACGGCGTCCATCACATAAGCTATCGTGACTTGATCGTAATGTTTTGCAGTGTCGATTTTTGAGTTCCGCAATCCGTATATGACGACTGGCTGACGCTATGCATATGGGACTTTGGTCAGTATGATGTTTTGTTGACATGCCTGACTGCCCACAGGAACTAGCAGCCACTTACAGAGATTATCCGGTCTTTCGAAGATAGCTGACTCCCTGTGGCGTGGCGTATTAGCACTGATCCACGAGGGGAATGGACATTGGACGCTCGTCCGCGCCGGAATTTCCCACCGCCAATGCGGAAATGTCGGATGGTCGGCGCAATTGGAGCTTGTTGCTCGGCGCTGGCAGGGCGGCCTCTGGCGGCTAGCTGTGCCTATTATTGTCGATGGGTGGTCTGCACTGGATGTGGTCGGCTTCATCGGTCAATAGGCGGGCGTTATCGTCGCCTCGACGGTAGTGATCTTGTTGTTCTAAATGGCATGATATAATTCTTGGGGGCGAGTCTGGCCTTAGCAAGAGGCGTGCTGTTCCTTTCGTCTTTCAGTTATTTTTGCGTTGCTGTCCGCTTCCTTATCTGCCGTTAGTGTCTACCTCTTCATTTTTCGGTTTTCTTATAGCCCCTCCACTCCTTTTCGTTACATGGGCTTACCATCTATCGAGAGCCGTCAAGTTTAGTTTCTCCCTTCTGTCAAACAGTCGTCGGCTCGCATTCCGCCCCCTTTCCAGCTTATATCATCTGGTGTTTCTCTCCCTCATCGAGTCGTCATCACCTTACGTTTCTCCCCTGCACCGAGCGGCCGTAAGCTGGCGTTATTTCCCTGTGCCGGGGTTCCGTCAGCTGGCATTACTCCCCTGCACCAAGCGGCCGTCAGATAGCGTTACTCCCTCTCACAGCCGTCGTCAGCGGGTATTGGTATTACCTCCCTGCGCCGAGGTGCCGTCGGCTGGCGTTACTCCCCTTTACCGAGATGCCGTCTCCTGCCGGAGCAGCGGCGGCGAGCAGTGTCCTTGGCGGGCCTCTGCTGCTCTGGGGCTGTGGGTTGGGGGCGGGGAGGGACTGAGGGGTGGGGGAAGGACGTCGGTTGGTGCACCAGCCGCGGCGGAGCGGGCCCGCCGGACCGATAGCCGGTCCCGCTCTCGGCGGGTCCGTCTCGGGTAACTCGGCTAGGTGCCGGGGTATGGGACGCCGGGCTGGGTGGACGGGATGTGAAACGTGAGGGATACCATAGCAGGGCATTGGAGAAACGGATTTATTGTCAGGGGTAGGAACAGCGCCACGTTAACAAAAAAAAAAAAAAAAACACTTAACATCATAAAAATATATCCATGCAAAGCGTAGTAAGTTTAAAACGCCGAACCTGTCGCTCGTAAAGAGCTGGGTGTTCAGTCTGATTTTTCGTCGGTTCTGCACTGTGCACGTCCCGGAACAGGGTACCGTCCCCGCGCCGCGTCCGGCCGGTGGTTTGTGGGTCACGGCTGACACGGCCGCAACAGCGGCGTGCACGGCCCGTCCCTGACACGGAGCTGGAGCCGGCCTGCAACAGCCGAGCTCGCCCTGCAACAACTGTGGGCGGTGGCGACTGCGGACGGTCTGACCTGGCCAAACATTACCGTGGTGTCGGATGGACGGGAAGACGGTTCGTGACGACGTGACGGACAGACGGATGACGGGTTGTGTTGTGACGGATTGAGGACAGATAGATGCAGACTGACAGATGGACTGGCATAAGACAGACATGGGACCTTGAGACAGACGGTCAGTCAGATAGACAGACAGATAGACAGACAGACAGACAGACAGACAGACAGACAGACAGACAGACAGACAGAAGATGAGCTGTGGCTGACCACAGCATCTGGCGTCTGCACAGTGCAGCGGCCCGGCTCCTAGACCTGTCACCCCTCCGCTCCCTCCGGCTACCGACGATGACGTCAGCCGCGTCGGCGTGACGTCACCGGTGACGTCAGCAGCGTGTAATCCGACGGGCCTCTATTTTCAGGCGTGGCCGGCACCGTGTGCTTTCTGGCCGACATGCAGCGGCCGGACACTGTCCGCTTCCCCACCTTCTGCTTCTGAGGAGCGGCTACTGAGGACTGAGGAGAGGGCAGCCGCAGTCGACAAGCCGAGTGGACACAGGTCAGGTTACAAGTCAGGAGAGATGGGTAAGACTGACACGAGTGCCTAGGGTAGCTCCCGGCTGGGGGTCGGAGGGATAACATGGGTGACGCGGAGCTACCAGAGGGAGATCCGTGTCGTCACTGCCGCCCAACCACCGCGGTTGCGCCCAAGCTGTTCTCCCCGAGAGTGGAGATAATGCTGAGAAGGGTCCTGTGATAGCCATTGTGTATTGCGTAGCTGTGTATGCTGTCCGGTTTGTGAGTGATAGATTGCTTTTTTCCGCGATTGACGCTGTATTGGATCAACTGAACCAACTTTTTCCCACGGATTGTGCCGTCCTGTTTCCTGACGTAGTTTCCCGTTCGATACAGCCCTCGCCCGCCACCCGCACCCTCCCCCTCCCCATCCACCAGCTCCCTACTCCCATAACATAACCCCCCCCCCCAATCCCCACACCCACTGCGCACACAGAATGTTTCAACAATGCTGACGTCATCGCTGCAATGCTCGTGTGGGGAGGGGACATGGTGTGGGAACTTCCACTTCCCGATAACGCTCGGCCGCCTGTCCCCACTTCCTGGGTAGTTCCGGGGTCGGACCAGGTGCGGAGATATTGCAGGAAGGTGTTGCAGTACGGGCTGAGAAGGGCAGAGGTCGCGACACCGCCGACCCTAGTGCGCAGTCTGCTGGCCTCTGCCTCCTCAGAGAATTGCCTTGGGAAGGGACTGGAGCTTGATAGACAGATACAGATAGACAGATATTCCCAGTGTGGTATGACCGATGATCTCGCCAAGTATCGCCCCCTGTCCCCGCCCCCTCTCCCGCCCGCCCCTCGCCGTCAGCATTTGTCGAGTGTCTACGTCATAAGCTGAATGCCCTGTTGACGCAGGTATCGCCACTCAGCCCAGCAATTGATTTTCCACCGACTTCCGCCCTCCGCCGCCTATCGGTCGGAGCCGCTCTGTATGAGAAAGCGCTCCGGCTCCGCGCAGAGGAAACCCATGCACTGCACCGATACTGATGACGTCAGCACGCCCGGACCGTGACGTCAGCAGTCCTCGGCGTGACGTCAGCACGCCCAGAGTGCACGGTTTACTGCGAAACGCGGCGGCGGTAGAGTGTATCGAGCAGGTCCTTTGTGTACGGTGGCGGTCGGTCGAATGGCGTTACAGGCTGGAAATGGTCGGTATACGGCCTGCCAAAGCAGTCAGTTTCGTGTGCTAGACACGGCTGTTGCCGTGACGTGGCCGGTCCGAGTTTCAGTTGAGCCGTATTGCCGTGTGCTGGCTAACCCAGCAGTGGGTGCATTAACCAAATGCTGGCGTGCTCGGAGATTTGCCCGACACATACCGTTGGGTTGAGTTCGTTATGTAGCAGAGCTGCAGTTCCAGCTAAGAATGTTCGGCTGATGCAATGCCTGTCGTGGGCCTATGCTACAAAGCTGGATCAGCGAGCCTACGAATACTTAAACCGGGGTGCCAAGGAAAAGTAAAAAGGATAATGTGTGCCGGCGTGACGTGTGTGTGTGGTTTTCCTGGAGCCCGTTTCCTGTGATACATCAGATGGTTTCCCTGTGGACGCCCCCCTCCCCTCCCCCGTGTCGGACTGTGCCGTTCTGTGTTTGCCATTATCGTCGCGCCGATACGCGGCTTGTGAGAACAACGGCTGTGCCGAGTTGCTGGGGCGAGACCGAGGCAGTAGCCGAGTGGCGCACCAGCAATAATTTGCGATATTGCTGTTATGAGTGTTACATGTATTGTTTACGGCTTAAAATAAACTTATAAAAAATGAACAAGTGCTGTTTAACATGACAGTATTTGTGTATTGGCTCCCACAACGTCTGCCGCCAGCCTGAGGGTTGCGGCTCCACGAGTCCCTGTTCGCCTATCTACCGTCCGGGGGGGGGGGGGGGCAGCCGCGGCGTCTGCCGATAGCACGTCTGTCGTCACCCAGCGTCAGTGGCAGTCTCCACCTCGGCGGCCGGCCGGGCCGCCCCCTGTATTGTGAACACACGCAGCTGATGATACAAAATACACGAACACTCTGAAGAACGGATGGCTCGCCGATGATGAGGGGCGGGGCGGGCGCCGCCGCGCGGGCCGCCCGGTCGGCGATGGCACGGCCGCGCTCGCTCGCTCGTTTTGATTGCGGCCTGGCCGGGCGGTCGGCGGCCGGCGTGGACCCCAGGAAGGTAATGCCCCCGCGGGGTGGGCTGGAACGCGTCTCCACCGCGGGCCTCACATGCACACACATACCGGTCACCCGGGCCGCTCGGCCGCGGGCTATCACACTCAACACCGGACTCGCGGCGGTCCGGCGCGGCACAGCGGCTCTCAAGGCATTCCGAGCGGCGCGTGCGGCCGGGTCGCCGCTGGCCGGCTCTCGCAGTTCAGGTACGGTGAGCGGGCCTCGCAGGCCGGTCCTCCCAGCGCGCGAAGCCACACAGTCACCGCCACATTACGTCAATCAGGTGCCCGTCTACCGGCGACCGCTCACGGCAGCTTCTTCTGACAGTAGAGCTCCTTGAGCGACTTGAGCTCCTCGATGAGTGCCTTGTTCTGATTCTCCAGGACGGCCACTCGGTTCTCCAGACACTTGATGTACTCCTTCTTCTTCCGACGACACTCGCGCGCCGCCTCCCTGTTGAAAGAAGAGATATACGGTCAGACACGGCCGGTGGAAAGCGCAGCACAGACAAAGCGATATTTAGCTGGTCAATAGGAAACGACGGCCAAAAGGCCGAAATTAGGGTCGGACACGCGTGCTGCATAATTCGAGAGGGTAAATGGTCAAAGCGTTCGTTCAAATACTACGAAAAGATGGTCAAAATCGCCCACTCAATGTTAACACGACAAACGCACAGACTGTCCATAGTCATACACCCCAAAACCAGGCGTAAACAAATCTCAGCCCAGACTTCGATCATCATCGAACGTGAAGATAGGCCCCTAAACCGGTCGTCTGATGGCTAGCCTATCAGTAGCCGCCGGCCGAGAGTCGGTCGTAAACCGGCGGATCGTCCCGGGCCGCGGCAGCTCAGCCGATTGGACCGGATAGGGTCGGTGGGTCTGAACTCTGAACGGTCCCCAAGTCCGTCACGTCCCCTCCCACCCGGCTCCATTGCCGCCGCCGCCGCGCGTCCTTAGTACTCCTTCCGAGGCCCACTTAACTATTTCGGGTGTCCTATGGCGAGTCACGGAGCCAGAGTCCGCCTAGCCACGGAGCCAGAGTCCGCCCAGCCACGGAGCCTGAGGTCGAGTATCGGTGAGCCGTTCAGGGTCACAGAGATCGAAAACTACGGGTATTCGCTCAGTCAGCGGTGCGCCGGGATGTTGGAGCGGCCGTGCCCGCCCGGTCTGCCCAACCAACACCGTCTCCGTCGATCCCAACCACCGGCAAATTTGGGCCGGCATTCCACGGCAGGTGACGTCAGCCACCACAGGAGGGGGGAGGGGGTCGATCCTGGGGGCTGTGCAGGACGACCAGTGACGTCACTGGTCGGCAGCCCGGTGAACACAGCGCCCCCCCCCCCTCCCCGGCGGTGGTGCCATGACGTCAGCCCGTGAAATCAGCCGGAGGCGTGACGTGTACCCTCGTCGCTCGCTCGGTGAACATGAAACACGGCACGGCACGTATTGCACCGGACTGAACCGGGCAGAAAGCCGACATCGGGCCATGGACCGAGCGGGCGGGACGGCAGCTGACCGCGGGGTTACCGCCCGTGACACTGACCCTTTGACCCACCCAGCGCCAGTCCAGCCGAGTGGAAACGCACCAGTTATCCGCTGACCGGCAGGCGCCAGTGTGTGGGCTGGCTGCGCCAGTTGGCAGCCGGCCAAATGTTCCGTCGACGGTGGGATGGGTGCAGTCAATGGGGTCGATCTACTATTCACTAGACCGTGTGCTAAAAGGCAGTGTGGGTGTGTGTCGGACGCTTCCGAAACCAAGTTATGTCGAAGAACTGTAGAGCAAATAACCGAACAACCCGAAAACTGAGCACGAACATTACGAACGGCAGCGTAACTGCCTGGCAGCTGATAAACAATGACGTCTTCCCACAACAAACGACACGCCACAGCGACACACAACAACCAAACAGTCCCATAACTAGGCACCAATTAACCCCCAGACAGCCTCGACTCGAAACAGCTCCACACCCAACCTCCCCCTTGCTGAGCTCGCGCCAGCCGGGGGAAGTCAGACTGCAGCGCAGCCCTCCCTGACAGCCGCGCAGCCAGCCCGACACGCCGGACCGACCGGCTATTGCGTAACCAGCTCCCAGCTCGGTCGGCCGGCCGGCCGGTCGGTCGGAAGGGCCGGAAGCCAGAGCGTCCTATCGCGACACAGGTCGTAGTGTGACCCGAGCGGCCGTCCGGCAGTCTGCGCCGCAGTCTTCTTAGTCAATGGACTACTACCTATACTACACATCATGGAATTATGAAACACAGGACTACGGAACACACGACTACAGAACAAAGGACAATGTATCAAACGACTACCCACAAAGGAGCACAGAAAAAATGCAGCACATAACTATAACCGAGCCGAGCACAATAGTATAACGGACCAGACCCAGCTAGTTACAGCTCGGAGCGACAGAAGCCACTAGCCAGCGGAGAACGGCTTGGCATTGCTGGGTCTTCAGTGCGCTGCTACCTCGGCGTGTCCCTAGCGACCCCACCTCCACACTCGCCACACAACACAACACACAACACAACACACAACACAGCACACAACACAGCACATAACACAGCACACAACAAAGCACACAACACAGCACATCGCACACGACAGCATAGCACACCGGACACAACACAGCACAACGTACAAGAAAGCAACACAGATCATCGCCAGCTCACAACTCGTCACGTTACATCTGAACGCCAAGCAGCAATAAACCAGTAAGGACACTTTCATTAAATAAAGAACCTGTGCCTTGACAACGTCAACCTTAACTGTCCACTGCGCTAGCGCCACAAATAGATATAAAACTCGGTCCTCGTGTTTGAGGCAAACAAGCGTCAGGATTGAAAGTCGATTTTGGCAGGAAAAGCCAGAACTACAAGCGGTGACGCATTCAACCAGTCGCCCCAGCATTAAAAATAATATTGTAATACCTCTCATGGTATTCGGAAAGTTCAGCTGCCAAGTGAAGCGTGTGCATCGGTAATGGTAGAAACCACGCAACAGTTGGCGTAAATCCCTCCGGAAGCTGAGCCGAGTTAAATGTCAGACCTCCCCAGCCGCGGTCGCCGTGCAGCTCAAACACCATCCACTACTGAATGTCAGAGTTCGAATGGGTAACGATCTCAGCCGTCCCGTCCCCTGGCCGGCCGGCCGCGGCACTCACCGGTTCTTGAAGAGCCGCACCTCGCGCTTCTTGGTGACCTCTTCTCCGACCACCTCGCCGGAGGAGGTGAGGACCATGTGCTGGCTGCTGCCCTGGTCCAGCTTCAGACTGCCGGTCACCGGGATTGACACTGCGGAGCGGAGGAACAGACGCGTCACTTCGGAAAACAGATCACAGAAAATAGAGGACGGAAACAGGTCCCAGGGGGATGATCATAAAAAACCTACGCCAAGCCGTTTGCTACTTACGGCTACCACCAACACCCACACACATAGCCAATGGGAGGACATCCAGTGTCGCATGAATAGACGGACACCGGTATGAATTAATGAAACTGGCGGCTCGTATGATGCCAAGCGGTCCCCGCAGATCGGGGCGGACCACTCCGGGAAGCGGGTCCATTAGGGCCGCGGGGATCGGTCGGCGCGGCAGTCGCCAGCCAGTAGCGCCCAGCCGGGTCGCCAGTGACGTCATCACATCGTGTTAACGAGCAGTGGTGACGTCACTGGGACTTCCGGCCGGCCGGTCCGCCCCGACAGGTGAATACCAGTCCCTGCTGCGCAACGGTGACGGCCCGTCCAACCTAACAAACCTGACATTTCCCGGCAGGCCACCTCACTCCCTCCTCTACCCCGCTCTCCCAGCCTCGCCAGTCTCTCACCGGGCACGAAGAACTGTCCATCGCCCTGCGTATACTGGACGATGGTGTTGCCGCCGCCGGTGCCTGCGCTGCTCATGCTGAGCGTCTGGAGGCCCTGAACACCGTCGGCGCCCGAGATCTGAATGGTGTTGGCCGGGATCACTGCGGCAGACGCGGGCGGAGAGGGGCGGTAAGTGGGGCGGTACAGATCGAACACGGTACGGGTTACACGAGGGGGCGGTCGGTCCGTTCAGTCACTGGAGCAACGACGAAAAAACGCAACGAATCTGCCCGTGTAAACCGAAGTTACTAACGAAATTCCTACATATTTCTGTGACTGAAATATAAAACACTATAATAAATCGCATAAACCTGCCTAGAATTTAGAAGGCATAATATCAAGTCGGATTTAACTTCCCAGTCGTAGCGACAAAACCAAACACTAATCCTTCCCTGCATAGGTCCACAAATGCACAAAGAGCCCTACTCAATTCTGAAACACCAACTCCAACACCGACTCCGGCTCGGACTCACCCTTGATGATGCCGTTGCCCTGGTAGTTGGCCGCGCCCTGCGTGTCCACGTCCCCGTCGCCCTTGTCCTCGGAGATCTCGCCGCCGCCGAGCTCGTTGAGTATCTTGCGGTAGGAGGGTCGCCGGGTGAGGATCTCGCGCCGCCGACGCGCCGCCTCGTCCTCGTACTGTGCCGGCAGCGACTCGGCGTCCACCACCTGCCGGCGGCGGCGCTCGTGACGTCACCGTCGGCTGCGACGCTGACGCACGTGTCGGGGACTACCGTCGGAGGGGGCGGGGAGGGGGAGGGGCGCGCAGCGACAGGGGCGGGAGGGGGAGCGAGGTGGGCGGAGGTGTAGGTTACGGTCCCTACGAAGGATCACGGTAGTCTGTACCGCAATCACTGATCACCGGATTACAACTGTGTGTGTGCGATCCGACAGAGACGGCGCAGCTGTCCGCTCCACTCCACTCACACCGACCACTGCCACTCAATGTCGGGTAGTCCGCCGACGAGTTTAACCACCCCACCCCACCCCCACCCGTCCCTCCGGCTGCCCGGCCCGGCGGGTTTACACTTCACATTGTCAGGAGTGACGCAATATCGCGCAGTACACACACAGCGGCCTGCATACATACGGTACAGAGACCAGGGACTAGCATAGCGACCGAAACAGGCACAGCATTACCACCGCTGCCTACCTGAAGACTCTGCACGCTCGAGTTGGGTGCTGTTTGTATGACGCCGGCCTTGTTCAACAGAATCACGTTATTCTTGCTGAACTGGACCGGCTGCGTTGACTGAATGACCGAAGGCTGGTTCTGTAAAAGACGGCGGTCGCCGCCAGGGTGCCGTCAGTATCTCTGCACGCACACTGGACACACGGCACATCGCGGGAAGGGGGGGGGGCGTCCGCGTTCGAACCATCGCACAATGGCAAAGCAGGGCAAAATCGCGTCATAGTTTGGTATGCACGGTATAAGTTAAATATCTCCGGGACTGCACGGGAATTGCCAAATCTCGGGTTTCATCGAGGCAGAAAACGGAACAGATTATGTGACAGATTACACTGATGCATGATGTAACTCTTAAGCTCTCAGCGGAATGTTTAACAGACGTTTTCTGGTGACTTTGTAATCCATGAAGGAGGGGAGATCATTTGGACTGGGTACTTGAAGTAAAGCGATCAGGCAGGCGGGTATCTGCTTAAAACAGAAAATACTTAGAAAAAAAGGCAGCGAGTGACTAGGCAAAATAGTTTTCGTATAGCGGGTGTTAAATCAAATCAACTCAGAGCGACAGAATACCACTACCCAGAATCCGGAGAGTACAGTGCGGGCTACCGCCTGCATCCCTTTACCGATAAATCAACGGAGAAGACATGCTGTTGTTTCTAGCGGCCAAGCCGGTTCGCTACGGGACAGGTGTGTCCGCTAGTCATGCCAGTGCAAGCCGAGCCGAGAGACGAGGGGTGCCCTACGGCCGGGCCGGCCGGTGTCGTCTACCTGTCCGCCGGCGACACTGGGTATTGACACGTGAATGAGCCGCACATTGGGTGGTCTACTAACAGATGGACTGTTTGCGTCCGCCTGGCCGTCGAGCGCGTCCTTGGGCGTGTCCGGCGCGATGCTCAGTCCGTCGGCTGCGGCGGAGTCCATACCTAGCGGCAGGGGCAGCGGGGCACAGGCGTCGGTGGTAGCCCGGCACCGGCCGGCGCCTCCCCCTCCCCCTCCCACAGTGCGTGGCCCCGTGACGGCGCCAGGGGAACCGACACCCATCTCACTACACAGGCCAGTAATGAAGGACAGTAGGATGCCTATAACATCTGCTCATCAAAATGGGACACTTGCTTTCCCTTCACCTGTCCTTATAACAGTGCAAGTTTCACATTTACCTTCACATGTCATTTGTTAGCAGACTACATCAACAAAAACTGAACATCTTAAGTTAAAAGAATGGGAAAATCCTGATTTCTGGGTATCTAAAAACAACCCTAGAATTGAGGTGGTTGGGCAGGGCAACTGGTACCATGTGATGTTAGCTCCTGCTCAAGGAATAGGTATCTAGCATGGATGGATCTGGACATGCTTTTCAGCATGTTAGCTGTGCATTCTACATTATGTGTATACCTATAGGCCTTAAAGCAGCTACAAAAACCAAGAGCATAGAGCTGAAATGAATACAAGGCCTTCCCACTCAGTGAATCACACATTATAGGTAGGAACCCAACTATGCACAATAGGAGGGCATTTGGTGTGAATGCAAAATATCTGGGTTCCAGCTGAATACCAACTGCTCAATAGTGGACATAAATGATAGGTAGGTGTCATGCAAAATGACCAGGAAAGCCCAACACACCTACAATATGAAGTGCTGAAAAATATTAACAGAAGAAAATGTTTATACAAAACACTAAAAGGATCTACCAGCAAGAAGTGACTAATACAAGTCACTTACAAATCAGTGATAAATATCATCTGATAACAGAAGATTCAGCACATGGAAACTAGGAAAGTGAACATTATAGCCAACCAAAAATAAGCTAAATGCTCATCCCATTTTAGCTGAGCCTGATTAATTTGAACCAAGTAAGAAAGCCTGAAATCAAAATCTGAGTTCCTGAAAAGCCTGAGCTCCATTGCCACATCCAATTCAAGCCGCAGGATGTGTTTTAACAGGCCTACCAGCAAGCTGTTTCAGCCAAGTATTGCATTGGCATTTTTCACCCTAGCTTGCAGTGATAGTCCCAGTCCAGTAGGATTACTCTAAGAGCTAAATTTGGCTAAAACTTCCTCTAAATTGTGAATCCAAACCATGTCAAATCTAAATTTGAATTCAGATTTACTTCATTTGGAATCCTAATCCTGTTTCATACTGCTTAGAATACTATGATATGATGGATTTAAATGTAAAATAGATATTGATATTTGATAAAACATAACGCTAATGAAAAAATCCTCTCCGAAATTCTCGGCGTGCCCATTGACGTCATGATTATTGATCGACACTGATGTTGATGTTTGATGTTAGTTGACAAGACAAGCTAAGACGAACAAAATATGCAATGCACCTGCGAAAGGCTTCGTACGTACGCCATCTTGCCCGGCATTCCGTTAGAAGCAACGCTACTTCACAGCACACACACAACACGGTATAACATCCAGGTACTGCCTGAGTGTCACATTTTGATTATCTGCCACACCGCCCCAGCTGAGCACTTACCCAGTTACGTATTTCTCGTCACCAGCTTGCCGCGATCTCACTGGACGATCCCGTAACACGTCAGAGGGCCACTGCTTCGTCATCCGGTTCGTGACGCATTGATCGTGGATGAAAAGAAGCTCTGTGATTGGTTCACTGTTTGAGACCTCGACGTTGATTGGTCAGCCAAATAAGGCATGTCCGTGACATCAGCATGCGTCATCCGCGTGCACATTTCTGATCATTTTTTCCACTGCCGTTTTTACGTTTTTCCACGCCTACTCAAAAGTAAATAAGACGATGGTAAAAAAGAAGCTGTTTTAAAAACTCCTTTCAAAAATGTGTTTGTGATAGATTAGAGGAGCAAAGTTTTGCGCGCTGTATTCTTTACATATATCATCTGCAAAACAAATTTATTTCAGTGCATTAAATAAAACAAAGGTTTGATTGTACAACTTGTTGTAAAGCTTTGTTATCAAGGCTCAATCTCAAATGTAATTTTATAAGTGTTACAAAATTATCCATCTCTATTCCTTGATTCCTAGTGGCAGCGACAGCAAGCTCTACCACATTCAATTGACGCTAGGTGGCAGGAGCATCCACGAAGTTGATATGTTCCGGTCCGCCGTTGGTCCGCTGGCCCTTAGTTACCAAACAAGGGACTAGAGCTCATTTATCAGCATTTGAACAGACGGTAGCCCTTGGAGGATAGAGACCTGTCACCTGACCTGACCTTTGAGCGAGCTCATGGCCTCGGATGACCTGTGTTGACCTGCATTACTCATTAGGTATGCCCTTTCAAAGCACACCAGTGTCCTTTTTCATAAAGATTCTACAATCCGATTGTAGTTTGTACATTTGTAGTTTTCAAAGTACAATTTTACAAACTACTACTTTTCATAAAGCCTGGACATGCGGCGTCAATAGAATTGTACTTTCGATCCGGGAGCGTAGTTTTGCGGGGCTTCGTCTCCATGGCAACGGAGTAAGCAAAAACTTCTGCAACAGTTTTCGATGTTGTGTTGCAAATTGCGTATTGTGTGCTGACAGTTTTTTGCAATTTTTAAAAGAAATAATTATTGATAAAGAACTTGAATTGCTTTTAGGGATCAGCCATCGCTTTGCACATGCATAGCTAGAACTTTTATGCTGAAAGTGTTAACATTTTCAACATTGCAATCATTTCAAGATGTGCTTGTTTCGAGATTTGGTATCTGGGTAAGTCCAACAAGTCATTAGTTTCTTGAAAGACTGCTTCATGAATTATTCAGACAATAATGCAAAAATGGCTGAAAAAGTATTAGGTTAAAGGAAATAGTTCACTTTTTAACATGGGTTTTGAACTGGAATAGCAGTTCCGTAGCTTGGGCTGAGACGAGCATAAATCAGGAGCTTTTACAGCCCAACGATCACCCTAGGCAAAGATATTCTATTTCTCGTCCCGAAAAAGGTGTCTTGCGTTGAGGATGTGTGCCTTGCATATATTTCCATCCAGTATGAAAAGAGCATGGGTCCCGAAAATTCTTCAGGAACTAGAGAAATTATCTACGAGAACTCTAGAGAAATTCTCGTACTGATCAATTAGGACATTCAGGGGAACATTATCAGATCGAGCAGATCGCCCAAATGCCGGTGGCTGCGATAATTTCTCTGTTTCTGAAGAATTTTCGGGACCCATGCTCTTTTCATACTGGATCGCGTGTGCCTTACAGAAACTGAAAAGTTCTTCCTATATCAAAATATAGAAAAAAAAATCTTTTGTTATAAAAAGGTTTTATTTTCTTTGCTGATTATTTTGAACATAAAAAATAATAAATCGTTGCAAAAAAAATAATTTCGTGAAAGTGAACTATTTCCTTTAAGCCTATCCGAGTTATAAGAGTGGTTATTATGGATATTGTTGACCGTCATATTACCTAGCGACGAGCTATGTGACCTCAAATTGCTTTGAGCCTTGAATATTTGATAAGTAATGCAGCCTTGTGAAGCAAGAAGCAACAAGAAAGCCAGCGAATCAAATGCCAAAATCAAAATGCAAGAGCATTGTGACGAAGCGAGAAGCAAATAGATGGAGGCTGGAGCCACCCAGGAGACGGGGTGAAAACTAATAAAAATACAAGCTTTCCTACTGCGTGAAAGGAAATGGGCTACATCTTGAAGAGAAGGTGCATGGTCATTCCATTAGTGTTGGTTGAAGAAACTGAGCCGGAAACAAATAGGACATGAGCGTAGGCTGCTCTTTTTACCCAGATAACTTTATCCGCAAAAAAAAACTGCTATGTTAATGTAAGATTATGAGCTATGTTTAAAAAGAAATGTTACATGAGTCGATCGATGGTAGGTATACCTAGTACCTAGGCATAATGTTTTCAGATATTGATATCAATAATAGCTAGGTATACCTTTATTTATCCTTCACTTTTAGATATTATTCGTGAACTTATTATCTATACTACTATTTGAACAGGATCCATCTGTTTGTCTGTCCGCACTTGGTCTCCCCAATATATTGCAGTTCGCACCGTGTGCAATATATCCAGGCGCATCATCCTGGATGGGTAGTGGGTTCAATTCCACTCGCCTACAGGGCAGACGGTATATCGTAGGGGGTTGAAATTTGCACACCTTATAGGTGATAGACCGGGTCAGCGCCTTTTCTAGGTTCCGACTCGCTGGGGTGCACGGTTCGCGCGTGGGGCGCGCTGGAAGAACGCCAATGAAATTTTGATCGGTTCGTAGATCTTCATTGAGAGCCGGGGTCGACAAACTTTGGGGACTAAATGCATGCCGATCGGCGGCGAGTACCTGTTGTTGTTGTTGTTGTTGTCTCCCTCCAGCCCTAGGGCGTAGCCAGTCGGCTCTGGAGGGAGACGAAGGCGGCCCCCAGGGTCGCCACTGCGTCGTTGCTGCGCAAGTCCTCGTCTAACTTACTATTCCAACAGAATCCGTCTGTCTGTGAGTGTGTGAGTGTGTGTGTCCGCCACGCCGTGTAGTGAGTTCAATTTGTTACGGCTACTGGGCAGACGGTACGGGGTAGGAGGTTGGAATTTGCACACCTTCTAGGTGACAGAGCGGGTCAACGCCTTTTCTAGGTTTCGACTCGCTGGGGTGCTCGGTTGGCACGTGGCGCGCGCTGGAAGGACGCCAATGAAATTTTGATCGTTTCGTAGATCTTCATTGAGAGCCGAGATCGACAAACTTTGTGAACTAAATGCATGCCGATCGGTGGCGGGTGCCTCGCATTGGCGGATGGGCAGGTTTTTAATTTGAATAAAAAGTGGCGAGAGAATGTGTTGATTTTCGTTCAATGGGAAGAGTTTGTGATACAAGTATAAAAACGCACCGCGTTTGCCGCAATGCGTCACATTGGTCACAAGGCGTCATTTTTGCCGCAAATTGCACAACTTTATCTAATATGCTGCAATAAGGGTACAACTTGGTGCCAGGATGCATGCTCAACCAACAGGTACAGATGCGCCGCGTTTGCCGGAATGCGCAACAATTATCTCAGGGCGTCATTTTTGCCGCAAATCGCACAGTTTTGTCAAATATGGTCCGATATGGGTGTAATTTGGTGCAAAGATGCATGCTCAATCACCGGGTGAATATGCACCGCGTTTGCCGTAACACGCCACATTTGTCACAAAGCGCTATTCCCGACAAAATCGATTAAGGGTAATGGAATGGAACGAATAGGAGCGGTGCTAGAAGATCTTTTAAATTCTGATTTTTTAAAAACATTTATTGGATCCAATTAGTATGTGACCTGACATGACCCAGTGGTAGGTAGTGGTAGTGGTAGGGGTAGTAGTAGTGCTAGGAGGTAGGGGTAGGGGTAGGGGTAGGGGTAGTGGTAGGAGTAGTAGTAGGGGTAGGGGTAGGGGTAGTGGTAGGAGTAGTAGTAGGGGTAGGGGTAGGGGTAGTGGTAGGGGTAGTGGTAGGGGTAGTAGTGGTAGGGGTAGTAGTAGGGGTAGCGGTAGGGGTAGTGGTATGGGTAGGAACATGGGTAGTAGTAGTGGTAGGGTAGGGGTAGTGGTAGTGGTAGTGGTAGATGCAGTGGTAGGGGTAGTGGTAGCCGGTAGGGGCAGTGGTAGGGGTAGTGGTAGGGGTAGTGGTAGGGGTAGGAGTATGGGTAGTAGTAGTGGTAGGGGTAGTGGTAGTGGTAGTGGTAGGGGTAGTGGTAGGGGTAGTGGTAGTGGTAGGGGTAGGGGTAGTGGTGGAGGCAAAAGTTGAACAGCGGCCCGGGCTGATCCCATCGGACGAGAGGTGACCTATGTGACCTGGCCTGACCCAAAGTGACCGGGGCTGACCCCTTTGACCCGTCTTGACCCCGTATCAGCCAAATGGTATCCAACAAAGCCCTCAGAACAGTTCTTTTTTAAATTCTCTTCACATTTCCCTCCATATCTATGCTCCTAGACGACACATCGATTTGAATCGACCACCATTCGAAAGCAAATTGGCTGGTGCCGCAATTTTTTCCTACCACGCAGCAAAGCAAGTGGCGCAGCCGCTTGTAACTTACTATTCAAACAGAATCCGTCTGTGAGTGTGTGTGTGTGTGTCCGCACATCGTGTAGTGGGTTCAATTTGTTACGGCTACAGGGCAGACGGTACGACGTAGGGGGCTGAAATTTGCACACCTTATAGGTGACAGAACGGGTCAGCGCCTTTTCTAGGTTCCGACTCGCTGGGGTGCACGGTTCGCGCGTGGGGCGCGCTGGAAGAACGCCAATGAAATTTTGATCGGTTCGTAGATCTTCATTGAGAGCCGGGGTCGACAAACTTTGTGGACTAAATGCATGCCGATCGGTGGCGGGTGCCTCGCATTGGCGGATGGGCAAGTTTTTAATTTGAATAAAAAGTGGCGAGAGAATGTGTTGATTTTCGTTCGATGGGAACAGTTTGTGATACGATTTTACAAATTCACCGCGTTTGCCGCAATGCGCCACAATTATCTCAGGGCGTCATTTTTGCCGCAAATCGAACAGTTTTGTTAAATATGGTCCGATATGGGAGCAATTTGGTGCAAAGATGCATGCTCAATCACCGGGTGAAAATGCGCCACGTTTGCTGCGATGCGCCACATTTGTCACAAAGCGCGTAAGCGCCATTTCCGACAAATACGATTGAGGGTAATGGAAAGGCACGAATAGGAGCAGTGCCAAAAGCACTTTTAAAGTATGTTTTTTTTAAAATACTCATTGAATCCAATTATTATACGACCTGACATGACCCAGTGGTAGGTAGTGGTAGGGGTAGTGGTAGTGGTAGGGGTAGTGGTAGTGCATGGTAGGAGGTAGGGGTAGGGGTAGTGGTAGTGGTAGGGGTAGGTGTAGTAGTA